ATCCTAGTAAGTTATAGTATTCTTTCCTTTGGGAAGGAACCATCTGTGCAGTCTGCAATTCTGCTGAAGAAAGATGTTGAATCTATTTAATTACTGGAGAAAAACATAGATTTCTTTGCATTTGTTTTATACGTGCACTAAATGAAAATCGGTTTTGTCAGTTAAGCATCTTGAGGCAGAGGGTTGGGGGAGTGGTTCCCTATTTTTTTTCCTTTTCTTTTTTTGCTGGGAGTTGGCAACCCTATTAGTGAGGTATATGTAATTATAAATTAGGTTGTTTTATATATATTTTTTCTAAGTACTGTTTAGAATACCAGAATAGGGAGGGTGGTGAAGGTTTAAGTTTATTATAAAGGCTTTATGGCTTTTCCTATAATACCATGGTGGGCCGGTCACTAGTCAAAATGCCCAGGCTGATTTTTTGTCCCAGTACAGCCCTGGTGGTGGTGAACAAGCAGAAGAAGACGGCTGTAGTGATAGACATAGCGATACTTAGTGACAGCAACATCAGGAAGAAGGAACACAAGAAGCTGGAGAAGTACCAAGGGCTCAGAGAAGAGCTTGAGAAGATGTGGAGGGTGAAGGTAACAGTGGTCCCAGTGGTAATCGGAGCACTCGATGCAGTGACTCAGTCCTTTTATGGACTCGATTCATTTCACAATTTTATTTGATAATTTCTCTCCCATTTTACAGTGTTAGTTGCATATTATTTATTAAATCTTTTTCTCTAAAATAATTTAATATAAAGCAGTGACTATGTTTTCCATTAAAAACAGTTTTGTTTCTTTGTTTTTTCTTTATGATGTTATGAACTTTATGGTTTGAAATGCTGTTTGTAATGCTGTTGTGCTTTTTCCAGGAGGACTCATGAATCACATCACCGTGGCTGTATTTCACTAAAGTCCACAATGAAAATAAATATTTAAACATTTTAAAATTCATAATGATAATTGTTTTAATTTTGAGAATACTATTTAAATCTCTCAGTGCTCCAGACTTTTTAAATATACAATTGACCACTAGATGGAGCCATGGTGCTCTCCACTTCGTGTAGATTTGAAGAATCAGAGAAAATAATCCACAGTGGGAGCCTCTTGGCTACAACTCTGTAATAGTTTATGATATGTTTCTGAGGCCACATGTTTTTAATACTCAAGCTGAGGTCTACACTAGTGATTTTCAGCAGATGTAATAACCTCAAGCTACTCTTACTTTTCATTTTATGTGTGTGGATTTAATGTGGTGAGAACAGGAAAATTAAATTTATTAGAATTATGGTTTCATGAAAGAGTTGCCAACTACTGTTTTCAAAAATTAGTTACTGGAGTTTAATATAGAAAAAAACGGATTGTGTTTATTGTTATACATGTGCCAGTGTTTGCAATGTTATTATCTTATTGTTTGTTTGCTCATTTATTTCGATCATGTAAACAATATACAGGTACATTTTGCAAAGAAAAGAAGAGAAAAAGCACTATACAACATAAAGCTACATTTCAATATTGCTTCTGCTGTGTTTCAGTTACATATCGAAAAGGAGTGGGAAGAAATACAGACCTATTTAATCCACCCCTCTGCCATAAGCTATCAGTCAATATTTAGTCAGTTTCTTTACTGATATTATCTGTAGTAAAAACAGCAAACAGGCTTCTAAAGTAATATATACATCACATCATGAAATGTTCTAAACAGAGACATTGACTTAATTTCAACATTTTCCCTTTCTTTATAATGAAAGAAGATCATGTCTTTATATTTATGTACAAGATGTCAGGAGGGTGTTTCAATTATTTTACAGATTTAGTAGTCAGCCAGTGAGCAAAGTTAATCGTCATCAAGTCACTGTTTTGTGTTGTGCTGGAAGACAGAGGTCTGCTCAGGCTGCTGTACTCGCTCAAGCTTAAGTTTAATTTATCAGAGACATGAAGTGGATTTAATACTTAATCCTAAACAAAGCTGAACACGAAAATCGTGTGAATGTGCTGCCACAGGGGCTGTGGGGTGGAGTTTATAACCCACCACAATTTCCTTTTTCTGATTCGCGCTGATAAAAATATCTTAAATGGCAGAATGCTGAACTAACTATTGAGTTGGAAGCTGCGCTGAAGAAAGTAAGGCTGACGTTTACTTGTATTCACTTGTATTATCTTAGAAGAGTGAATGAGAAAAAGTCAGAATTTGAAGTTACAGGAGGCGGTTACTTTATTATTTTGTGCTTCCCTGTAAACAGCATGAAAGCTGCTTAAATGAAAACCAAATGAAAACATATTTATTGATTATGCTTTATTTCTGCTTAATTTCGTACTCCGGTTAACTGGCTTGTGGACAGATCAAGCTTCCTTATAGGTAGTCGGGTACAAGTTTATTAAGTACAGCTTGCTAATGAAGTTAATTCAGTTAGGTTCAAAAGTTTAGCTTTTTTTCATCTGTAGAAAACAAAATCAAGGGAAAACTGATTCATTAGTCCAGATGGCTTTGACTCAATATCGGACACATTTTTAGATGTTTTAATACCAGATTTGGTTAAATTTTGTTTAAATGTTCAATAACAAAACAAACGGTGTTTTTCTTTCCCACTGTTGCCAAAGCGCTTGCTCGACGAGGGTCAGATGATTGTTGGGGATTCTTTGTTTTCTCTGTTATTGTTATTGTAGGATCTTTATGTTACAATATAAAGAGCCTTGAGGCAACTGTTATTGTGATTTGGCATTATGTAAAGAAAACTGAATAGAATTTAAAGAACTTTATTAGATTCAATTTAATTCAACCAGTATTTTGTTTTTTCCCCTTTTGTTTTATTTCAGCACAATTTTCTCTAATATCTTTTGCTATAATTTCATATCAGAATAACAACAACGTTGATCTGCTCACTATTTTAACACCTCCTGTTGCACTCAGGCAGATCCTTTGGCAAAGAGAAGAGAGTGGGTAGAGCTTTTATAGCGGATCCATCATACAGACAGTCAGCTGGAGATGGATATGCTTCATATAATGTGCCTGATAAGCGTCTGTTTCTGCCTTCCTTTAACCATGGCAGTGAGCTGTTGGGTGTTTTTTGTGGTACGTAAATGAGAGACTTTCATTACTTTCTATGTCTCACTCCTGCTGAACTCATTCACTTTTACAAACAGTCTAGTTTTATAAAATTTTTCCACTTTTGTCACTTTAAATGTTCATTTTCTGAGTTAATAGTTCATAAAGTTTAGTTCTGAATTCATCCGTCCATTTTTTTTCTGCTTCTGAAGTGGAAGCTTATCGCAGGTGTCACAGTGTGAGAGGTGGAGTGAAACCTGCACTGGTCACCAATCTGTCACTCTTTTTAATTCCATCAGACCATTTTGCAGCTTTTACACATTTTTCAGTTGTCCGTTATTCTATATCACACTAAAGATATTTTCTGAACACTCCACATTATTTGCAGTTAATATTTAAATGTTTAGTTCTGAATGTCATGTTTATTACTGCATTAATATTTTCTGCAGGTACGAAGGGAGCAGGTCCCCATCACCTACTACACAAACCTCCTTATCTCCAATCTGATCCAGTTCAGCGCGTTGATCTTCTTCTTGATTTTCCACTCAAACCATGCTCTCTATCGTTATATTTTTGAGGGAATTTTTTTCTGTGCCGTGTTTGCTAATCTTGACTTCAAAATGTGCATTGCTACTGAAAGGTACCTGTCTGTCTTTCTCTGTCTGTGTTGCATTCAATCAAATTCTCAAGCGTCCCTCTAAAGATAAATGTCCTCCTGTATTGACCCGTATGTCTGTCTTGTGTTGCAGGTGTTTGGTCATCACCCGTCCACAGTGGAACTGCATCAGACAAACTAAAGGTTCTGTGCTGCTCTCTGTTCTGGTTTGGATCCTGTCTATTATCACTGTACCTCTTGCTGTATTCTTCTATGTGATTTTACTCCCTGTGTTAATTTTTTTTGCCCTCGTTCCTTTTTTCCTGTTCATCTTCACTTTGGTTTGGACCCTCAAAACTCTGCCTGCTGTCACTTCAGTGCCCACTGAAGAAAAACAGAAAATTGTAGGAATCTTAGTTCTGTTGTTAGTTAATCATTGTCTGATGTTCCTTCCCCTGATCATCCTTTATATTGTATCAATTTCACTTTATTTTCTCGGTTATTTTTCTTATTTTTCTGCCGTTCTAATCTACATGAATTTATTTCTGTTCAATCCTTTCATGGATGTGATTTTGGTTTTTCTCATATGGAAAGACCCCATCGACAATCAGCTGTTGTCTCTGTGTTGTTACACTATGGACAACACTGCTGGAGAAGTAGCTGCAGATAAAAAGCTACAGCTACAATGCTGCAGTGACTGTAACAGCACAGTGGTGTACACAGCACTGCAGCAGATGTAGCTGCACATAATCAGACAGGTGGTTGATTGTAGATAAATTAAATGAACTACTATTCTGCTCCTCTGTAATTTGTATTTCTTCACACATACTAAGAAAGAGTATGGTACATGAAAGCCTGGCTCACAGTCTCTGTTCTAGTTCATCCCAAAGGTTCTTTTAGGTTGTCAGGACTGTGTGCAGGCCTGTCTAGCTCTTTCACACCCATATGGACTGGTTCTTATATAGCGCTTTTCTACTCTTCTCAAAGCGCTTTACACAACTTGTACATTCACCCATTCACATATTGTTCTAGGTGCTTTCTAAGTAACATTCACACTCTGACGGATGCATCGGAGAGCAATTTGGGGTTAATATCTTGCCCAAGGATATTTGGCATGATATTTGGAAGCCAGGAATCGAACCACCAACCTTCCGATTAGTAGATGACCTGCTCTACCGGCTGAGCTACAGCCACCCCCGTGGTGGTGAGCAGTCCTCTGGACTTATGTTAGCAAAACTGAAAAGGCTATGCATTACTGTGACAGGGTCAGTCTTGAAAAACACCTGGTTTGTGTTGACAACCTGTAACTGTTTTATGTGTTTTTGTAAGCAAATTTTAATTAAAATTCCTAATAAACACCTTTTATCTTAAGATTGGCGTATTTTTGTCACGATATCACTCTGTTGCATTGTGTTCCAACACAAACAGTTATGTTGCTTTGGGAATTAAACGATCTTAATATAACCACTTCCTGTTTTCCATTGTGATCTTTGGTTGAGAGAGAGAGAGAGGGGGGAAGAGAGAAAGACTGATGGGGACATCAATCTACTGGAGAGTAAAACAGTTCAAAAATGTGAGGTCATTAGAAACAAATGAACATGACTTATTGATGTACAGAATTTAGAGGTATAAGGGTGGCGGTAAGACTCGCCTCAGCGAGTGATGGGGATACGTTGGTGGTGGAAATGAGTATGGATGCTTCACTTATATTTACAGTCATTTTGCTTTGATGCTCAGTCAAATCTAAATGTGTCAGGGAACCTAAAACTGTGACTATGAGCGTGCAGAGGTTCCAGAGAAAGAAGTTTTGTATGTTCACTGCAATCTGAAAAGTAGGGACATTCTTCAATGTGAACAAAATGAAAATCTATATGTTTTTGATAAAAGCCTGAAAATGTATGTGTGCATTTTAATCTTACATAGAATATATAAAATATTATATGAAACAGTTGATCTAAAACTCCACTTGTGACTTCCAGTCATGTAATATCATAAAATTAAAATATTAAAATTAAAATATTGTAATATTATTAAAAATATTCTAACACTAAAACAATTCAAGATAGCCTGTTTTGACCTTTCCCACCAGCTAAATCCTGTCATCACGCCGTGAGCGCCACAATTTCCCATGACTGTCCACAGCGTGCAGCGCTCACCTCAACAGTCTGGGGGTGAATATGACAGGGAGGTGTCTAAATACTGAGAAGAATTTAATTTGCACTTTTAAAAGTGATGTCTTGATGTTTTGGAGATGGAGCAAATCATTCAGACAGATATGAAGAGAAAATCTCCAAATCTGAACAAGAAGCACTCCCCCAGTATCTCAGCTAATCCTGCATGATGTGCTAGTCAGCAGTGTTGAAGCTAGAGGACAGGACCAGCAACAATATACCGATATGAAAATGTCTATTTTGTTATAGTTTTGGGGACTTCTGAAGGCACACTGTAAATTTTGCAACACTTCAGGAGATGCTAATAGATTTGTTAATTTGCACGGCAGAGAAAAACTTCTCCACGCAGGTAAGGAGCACTATGTGGTGAGGTGAGGGGCAGATGGTTGTTTAACATGTTGAGATTTTCAGCTTGGAAATTTCAAAGTATTTTTATGATTACAGCTTATTGCAAAGGACAGCCGTCTTCCGCAGCTAGTTTTAAGTGTCAGGGGGAAATGAGGAGAGAACATTTTAAAATTAACCACAAGCAACAGCAAAAAGCAGAGAAAAGTTAACGACATGCAGTAGTAGTATACAAAACTAAAAGGCATGAATGAAGGAGAGTGAAGGCAAATTCCTCTTTATGTTCTTCTTCTTCATGTAAAATCAACCTGACAAACTGAAAACCAGTTTGTGGACCATGAATCATAGATCGTCAGTGAGAAGTCACAGCAGCTCATCTCAGGTTTGCTTTTAAGTTCAGCTTCAACTTCATTTTGTCTTTGTGGTTTCTGTCAAGAGCTGATGATACTGAAACAAAACAGTTTCAATTGATGCACAAATGCGCACACACGTGCACAGAGACATTTTCTGGGTCATCATATTTTGCAGTTTTGTCTGATGCTGCCAGCTTCTCACTGTTTTACAAATCTTTAATCTCATTGGTTCATAGAAGCACAAACTACTGATGCTGACTGATGATAGATAACCATCTACTTTTAGATATCTACAGCAACCATGACAGTAGAGTGTACCACTGCCATTGTTCATAGATATCTTAACCATGACACCACAGTCTGCTCCACATTCTGATGAGCAGCAGCAATGTTGTAGGACCCAAAGAGGATTATGTATAAATGGTTTCAGTGTCTAACATTTCTTTGTTTGAGTCTGCTTCATAAATGCCGGTGATGCTACCTGGAAGATGTGACTGGAGCAAGAAGACAGTCTTTGACCTCAGAGCCTCCAATCTAGGCCTCTATGGGCTCGTCTATGACACGTGCCGGAGATTTACATCATTAATAAATCTTGTGCTTTTTTATTTATAAATATCAGCATTATTGTTATTAACATGATGCATATAAATACAGATTGTTTATAAACAAAGATAATTTATTCTGTGTTAGCCTGTTGATTTATTCAGTACATGTGGGTTTTGGGGGATTTTATATTTCCTGTTTTTCTTTTACTGGTTCATTTCAATTAATCTACTTATTTGTTTGTAACCAAGTTAAAACTGCCATTTATTAAAATGTGTTGAAATGTTAAAATGATGAAATAAATGTTAAAGTGTAAATTAAAAGAAAGTATTTAGAAAAAAAATGAATTTGCATTATATATGATTGCTTTGTGTAAGTATTGTGTTTTATTGTGAAGAGAAGTGAATGTGGTTGTGGTCAGTAACCATACTGTGAGATGTTTCATATGCAAAAGGACACATTCTATAAATCAGACACAGGCATTAACTGATGACATGACAATTCACTCTATATGATCTGAACGATGTAAAGTGGAGCAGGAAATCATTTTTTACCTTTTAGGAATGTAATATTTTTATAAAAATGAAAGATAAGTCAATACAAACTCCATCACACAATCCAAAAAAAAGCAATAAAAATAATTATCTTTCCATGTTACAAAACAAAGCTAAGTGAACAATAATTCACATACTGGTAGACTTTTACGCAGTACAACATTACTATTTATGCATAACACTTAAAACTTTATTCACCTTTCCTCAGCAGATTAGCAGAAAAGAGAATATTGTGAAGGCACACAAAGAAGAAAAGGACATCACTGTAAATCTAAATCTAAATATATATCTAAATATAAAAGGTAAAATTGAAAGAAAAACTTTTTTAAAAACCAGAAGCTAAATCTATTGTCAGCTGACACTTATAACAATTTTCTCTTTTTAATTCATCAGCAATCTCACAAACGATTTTCTCTATTTTCCGCTCTCCAATGAACTCTGACTACATCAGCCCACCTCTCTGTGCTGCCATCAATCACACTGATGTGGTGCTGACAGCTGCTGCAGTGCTGTCCATCCTGCAGCAGCACAGACATGCCAGCAGCTTGTCAATGCAACCTCTCTGCATGAAAACAGACAGAATCAAGTCCAGAAAAGGATGTAGCAGAAACAAACTAAAACACCACAGTTTCTATGAAACAGCAGTGAAAGGGAAATGGCCCACAGGCGTGAGAAAGGGAACACCAAACAATCCATATTTGAATCACAATCAGACAGTAGTTAAACAGCAACAGAACAAGAGTTCCTACAGTTCTCCGTTTTTCCTCTGTGGGCACTGAGGTGGCAGCACGCAGGGCTTTGATGGTTCCAGCTAAGCAGACGATGAACAGAGGAGCAGGGAGCAGAGCAAAAATAGGGGGGATTATAAACTGCTCAAAGACTGTGGCAGGAACTACAGTGATAATGCAAAAGGCCCAGACCAGAGCAGAGACCAGCAGAGAACGCTTTATTTGTCTGATGCAGGCCAGCAGTGGGCAGCCAATGAGGGAATATCTGCAACAGAAAACAGACGATTTCTCTAAATATCACAGAATATGCAGCCAGATATATGCAAGTACACGGAAACACAGTAATAAACACTGTTACCTTTCAGCAGCAAGGCACATTTGGAAGTAAACATTGGCCATCACACTGATGAAGTGAAAAGCAACGGTGATGTCATGATGCCATCTTCCTGTTGTTACAATCCAAACAATCTTTGCACAGATCTGGATTACGTTGGCGATGAGGAGGTTTGTGTAATAAATGGTCTGGGCCCGATCTCTTTGCACCTGCAGAAATATTTATAAAAGTCACAAAATACAAGAGAAGCATCTCATATTATCCCAAACAAGTTTAGAACAAAAAAACAGTGATGGTAATATCAGAGGTTTTAGTGATGAAGTACATTTGACTTGCTGTTGATCTCATGGTTCCCACGTCGCTGACTCAGTGCTTTTAGCTTTTTAGTCTATTTTTCTTTATTTTTCCAGGTCTGGTATCTTAGTTTAATCTTTTCCTGGTTTCATTTTGTTGCTTGAGGGCCTTTATTATTCTAACCTCCCTTGTGTTTCCCTGTCTGTCCTTTAGTTTCATCTGTATTTGGTCTCTCTTTGTTCCCCTTCATGGGTTCCTCAGTCCGTCGTGTCTCCATGTTTGTTTTCCTTTTATCCTTATCAGGTTCGTCTCAGTGTTAGTTTCCTGTCTCAGTCTTTCTTTGTCTCATCCCCCCTCATTACAAGCTGTGCATCCAGTGAGTGAAAGTGAGGTCTCAACCTGCCTGCTGCACAGCTACATACTCTGTTTGTCTGTGTCTGTATTTATTGTGACTTATAGAGCAAAACAAATGTCATATATAAATGAATCAAAGTCAAAATAATGATGAAATGTTTTCATCTCTGCAGCACTACAAATGTTTTTGGATGATTCTTCATATCATTCACAGTCAGACTGATATAAAAGTGATTAATAAAATTCAACATTTACATACCACACAACAGGCGAAGACTATGGTCAAAGGCAGGCAGACAAAGATGCTACTCAGAAACACCAAAATGAAAAACTCCATCTCTGGTTTCTCTCTGTGTGACGGAGCTGCTGAAATAAATTCGTTCACTTTTTCTGCAGTAAAGAAAAACGGTTGTTGAATATGCAGCATGTTAACATTGCTCTTATATCAGTTTGAAATTAAAGATGAAACCAAGGCTGAACTGAATTATTTAACAACATTCTGGCATCAGAAATGTAACCTAAAAATGCATCACAGCGCATTTCAAAGCCAGCATGGTTTTTCAGAAAAAGATGATTTTCTTGAAATCTTCGTTCTTTTCTCAAAAGTAGTAAAAAAAAAAAACCTTCTGACTCACAAACTTCAACTTAGTTTTATCTGAACTCAAAACCAGCGGATAAAAATGGGATTCATCAAGAGAAGGTTGGGTGTAAGAGTGAAGTGTGGGGAACAGAATTATTATGAAATAAGTCACAAAATAATTTAAGATTTTTCTTTGTGTGCAGGCCGTGATCAGCTCGACAGCTGAATTCAACAAGATATTAGCACACGTTAAACCAGAAATCAAGGCTGATTTTAATCTGCCAGATAATCTAAAATTTGTATCAAATGTAAAATGTGGTGAGTAAAACTGATCAGCATCTAAACACAGCCTTGTGTGGGCCATTATCACCACAGTCTGCTCTGTGCCAGCCGTACCTGCAAACTTCACCACACTACACAGTTTAAACTGGACTAAACATTTTATTCAACTTTCGAATGACATATAAGTATATTTCAATATGTTTGGGAGGTAAGGCAGAGTTAGAAGTTGGTGTCATGCTCTACACACACACACACACACACACACACACAGATCTTTGGTAGTTTTGAAACGATAACAGAAAAGCATTTCTGTAATTTCAGCAATAATGTGATTTTAGTGAAAGAGGGATTAATTTAATTACTGATGTTTACCTGATAAAAAGCTAACTGTATGTCCATATACACTGTTACATATATGAGATTCAACACTGGAATCTATCATCATCATCAGGGTCTTTCAGTTAATTAAAGTTAATGCAGACATTTCCATTGGGTTTTCAGTTATACAACATCCATGTCATTCATATAAAAGCACCTCAAACATTGAAAAAAAAAAAAAAACACAACAAAGAAATCAGTAAAACTTCTTTGTGTAACTTCCTGTCTCATAATTCTGATTTGTGCACATGAGCATGCAGTTTCCTTAAAACTGTTCTCCTCCTAAAGAAAATGTGAATGTGACTCACCTCAGGACGGCTTCCTGTTGAGATAGTTTGTAAAATCAGCAGTCTAACGTTTCGACAGAATCTGAACGGGGAAATTGTGGTACTTTATATACCCCACCCCTCACGCATGGGCACACAAACACACTATAAACAAAATAGTCAGTGTATGAATGAACAGTTCACTTCTCTGGAAAATTGTTTTTTTATTTTAGAGAAATGTGAAGTGTTGAGTGGGCCTCTGTCTGCTGGACAACACAAACTGCTGTCCTGCTGCTAAAAATCTGTCAAATAATATCATAACTCAGTGTTTTTGCATAAGACACTAACATTTTTCCAACACTTCAGGAGATGCTAATGCATAAATGACTTTCTTTGCCCTCTGAAGAACTTCCCTGTGCAGCTGAGGAGCTTTATGTGGTGAGAGGCAGATAGAAAATCTATCATGTGAAGCCTAGAGAGATTTATTGATTTTTCTTCAGCTTTTAATACTATCCAGCCACATCTTTTAGCTGATAAACTTCTTAACCAGTTTAAACTTGATTTTAATCTCGTTGGTTGGATTTTAGACTTTTTAACTGACAGATCTCAGTGTGTGAGAGTGAACGGCTGTTTCTCAACTGAACTCTTCTACTGGCTCACCACAAAGTTGTTTCTTTGCAAATTTGCATCATAGGATTGTTTTTCGTTTTTTCCTGCAGTATATAAAAATTGGTGTATCTCCAAAATAAAACTATGAAGACACTCAAAATAAATTTCCTGTTGTTGTAAACTATTTTTTGCAACTTTTTTGTATTTAAAGTTTTGAGGGATAACCTCTTAAATTTCTCCAAGTAGAAATATATGTAAAAAAAAAACGATTTTCAATTTTTTTGTAGTTTATTGCACTTTTTTGCAATTTATGTAGTTACTATGGACTTAATGCATACATATTATTAAAATATGGGCTATAACGGTTGTATTGATGTATAGCAACTTGAAATGCTCCCAAAAATGGCACTACAGCATGTAAAAATATAAAGTAAGCTCTGGCGGACTTGGTTCTATGGTAGGTCTTAAAGGGTTAAAAATAGGACTTGAATATAAATACTGTATATCCAGTCATATATAATTTGGTACATTTTGATATATTTTTGTTGGTGCTGATTTCAAATCATTTTACTCCCTTAAAGTTGCAGTTTTACTGTTTGTAGGAAGTGAGGAGCTCTGTGTGTGTTCTCATGCTCTCATTAATCAGGCATTTCAAACATGAGTTGTAGCTCAAGCTGTGCTGTTCATTGTCTCTGCATCTCCAGATGGTACCAGGTGATTGTAACATATTAGAAATACATTATGAACAAACATAATAATGCGTTTGATGGTTTATTGAAACATGTTTGACATTATTATGACATCATGGTGCATCAA